TAATTACAATTATTTATCGCTTAGTTACTTTCATGTAACTCGCACTCGTACATTCTTAACATTAATAGCCCAAATTAGCACATCTTGCTTTTAAATTAGCCCAAAAAGTAGCAAGTTCAAGTATGTTTATTGAGACAAGAAAAAATACATCTCAAAGGGATAGAGTAGCTTAGGCTATTTCTACCTCCCTCTACTTCAAGTCCCTCAAGGGGCGCACAAATTCAGTGAGTACAAATACACAAATCACAATACAAGAATCCCATTTAGCATAGCAGGTTAAAATAGGAAGCACAGCATATAAGTGTTACAAGTGAGTTACAAGTTACAAGGGAACAAGTGAGAAGTCGGTGGAGGCCAAAACCGAAATTGCACACTGATTTTAATGCAGATATGTCGTGATTATCATAAAATAAAGATGTTAAGGCACGAAAACCTTTTTATTCGTTAAATTGTATAAGGCAATTAAAAGAACCTAACTCACAGCCCCTCTGTTCAAGTCCCTCAACATGCTAAACATATACTCACTCGATCTACACATTCTCGTGTGATAATATATAATACGTGCGTGTGTATGTGCAGAAATAATATTAATAAAACAATTAACATCGTGTAGTGTGCTCTATATATCAAAATATATTAATTTGACACCCATATCATTCACTAAAAAAAATTGGGCTACTCTTATTACAAGTTCGCTACTTTTAGAGCGTCAGCTCGCTACTTTCAGCGATTTAGATCTGGCAACCCTGGTCGACTGGAGTGGTCACTGGTCAGTGCTCGCTGAGGCGTGGTGCAGGTAAGACTGTCGCTGACGCCTCGCATCATTTAGGCTCTGTTTTACGGCGAATTGCATTTCTTATTTATTTGTTCTTTATCCATAATAGAATACACATGCTATGTATTGATAGCTGTAAAAGTAAGGACAACAATAAGTAAGCTGGTAAAGTATTGTCTTATATCGAAGTGATAAAATAGAATAAATAAGGAAGGAAGCCTGAGCAAAAGTCATAGGTGTTAAGAACTTAAGAACAAAGGTAACTGCAGAAGGCCTATTGGCCCATACGAGGCAGCTCCTATTTATAACCACCCAATCCCACTCATATACATGTCCAACCCATGCTTGAAACTCCACTCCACTAACACTAACAGGCACTCCACTAACAACATTATCCCACTCTGACTTGACCCCCATTTATACTAACTCTGTTTCCTTTGGAATAGCCATGCCCTAATCCAACTTAATATAGCACCCCCAATACCATATGAGCCTCTATTTTTTTTAATCAGTCTTTCATGTGGCACTGTATCAAAAGTCAGACCTTGGAGTCAGAATCCATCATTCATTAAGTTACACAAGTGGGAGCGACAGTAAAAATAGCAAACCAAACCCTAGAAATAATCAAGCGTACCTTTACCTTCAAGGAAAAGAAAGTAATCGTTTAATTACATAAGTCTTTGGTGCGCCCCCACATGGATTATTGCATCCAGGCATGGAGACCTCATCTTCAGAAATACATAACTGCTCTGGAGAAGGTTGATGATTGATTGATGAAGATTAAGCCAAAAGCTATTCGCGCCCGTGCCACTCAAAAGGTGGCACGGGCGCGAATAGCCCATAAGTGGTGGCCCTTTTGAGCCATTACCAGTATCAAGAGCTGATACTGGAGATCTGTGGAGGTGCGACTGTACCCTGCGTGACGGGAGATCACGCAGTCTCCCGTGTGGAGAAGGTACAACAAACAATAAAAATCATCCCAGAGCTAAGTCATCTCACGTATAAGGAACGGTTGAGGTCCACAGGACTAACACTGCAAACCAGGCATGACAGGGCGGATCTCGTCGAAACCTTTAAAATACTGTACCATTTGGGGAATGTCGATCCTGTCAATTTCTTCAAAAGGTTCGATTTAATACAAATGAGAAGCAACGGGTTCAAGCTCGACAAACCACAATGCAGGACAGAAAACAGGAGATACTTTTTCACCCATAGGGTTGTAAACCTGTGAAACCGCCTACCCGCCGAAGCCGTAAACGCCAAAAACTGCTGGGTTTTAAAATTCAATGGAAAAAAAAACGATCACATGGAGGGACCTTTGATATGCTGCCGGCTTCCTGTCCTCATAGAGGCCACTAGTATTAGTGGACCTCTGGTAAATATAGGTTCAGTATTCTGCTGTGGACGTGGGGATATTCTTTAGGAGCATGTTAAATATTGTAGGACATCTAACGTTCCAGGCTTTTGTGTGCCTGAGTAATTTGGGCACTTGTTAGTTTGTTGTTTTAGCTACTCAGAACGAAGTGTCCATGTAGCACGGGCTATGGCGAGCCCGTAATTGGGCACTTGGTTTGCACTGTTTATCAAGGCATGTTTTGGTGTCGTGGCTGCAGACCCCACACCTCACTGGGCATTGGCAACCTTCTTTTGTGATACCTAAATGTCTGACATTTGAAGCATCTTGACACACAGCACTGCTCCTGTGCCAGGTAAGCTACGGGCTCACCATAGCCCGTGCTACTTGGAACTTGTTCAGAGTAGCTGAATCTATAACAACAGAAGCATCTTGGGGGCTTTGTTGTGTAAGGCCTGTGTTAATTTTCCTAAATGCTGAGATAGTTTGTCAAGCATTGGTCCGTTTAGTGACTGACTTGTCGGCTTTCCTCCTTAGTAAATTTTATCTGGCATCTTGCTGCTGACACCACATAATTCAGCTTTTCTAAAAGAGATGGGGAGGGGGGGGCATGTGCAGGAGATGAGGACAATGGTTTTCCTTATTTTGTCCTCTGGCTTGATGTTATGGTCCTGGATAGTGAAACATGATAATGCTGCGTAGAGATAGTGAATACATTGAGTCTGGAGGCAGTTGAGCTTGCATTTCTGCAAGATGTAAAACTGATTGTCATGTAAGCTGGCTAGTTTTAAGGAAAGATAATGTGAAATTAGTGAAGGGAAGGGAACTATCGGGGGGGGGGGAAGCACCAAGCCATTACAACTATATAGCACTGGGAAGGGGTCAGGATAAGGATTTTGGGAGGGGGGGGGACAGTCCAAGTGGTGCCCAACCACTTGGACGGTCGGGAACTGAACGCCGACCTGCATGAAGTGATACCGTCCAGCCCAAGTGGTTGAGTGTGAAATTAGTGAATTAATAAACAACCAGAAGGTACACTGTATGCGGTGTTGCAATATAAGAAATTGGTGGTGGTCAAATAATTCATTGTAATCTATTACCATATGATCATTTGATCTACTCTTAAGGCACTGTTGGAATGCAGAATAGATTGGTAATTGAACAAAGAGGGCTAGCAGTCATGTTTTGGTGATTTGGGAATGTGCATCGGATACGTCCTTATAAACTTTTTAAGTATTAGCCACTGATTTACAAAAACTATTATTACTGTATGCACTCTAAGCTTGCTCTACTGTTATTCTGCTTGTGGGGGTGAGTTTAGAGAGGATTTTCTTATGTCTGTGGGGGTTACGGGATATTCCAACTGGGGTGGGGGGATGGGAGGAAGACCTAGATCAAAGCCAAAACGTGTGTGAATACATTCTGGGTTCCTGTCCCCCGACAGTGAATTAATTCTCTCACCTCAGAGTTAAATGCTCTAAGGCCCTTAAGGTTTTGTCCAATACTTTCTGGGGAGGTGATAGGTGCATGCTCCTCTCTTTACATTCCTTTCTTGCGCTGTCTAAACTCGATTATGGCTGTCCTGGTTACTCATCTGCCTCTCCTACTCTTCGTCTTGATGCTCTTCACCACACTGGGGTACAGTTACGCCTCAGATCTGGTGCCTTTCCTTAGACTCCCACATGTTGTAACTGGCATCCTGTCTCTACAGGATCGCTACTGTCTTCGCAACTTTGCACCGTCCCTACAATACTCGCTCTCGCTTATTTTGACCATTACCTCCTCGTTTGGGCCCTGTTCCCTTTCACTACCTTTCCCTTTCTGTAAGATAGTTTCACTTGCAAGGTTCTCTCTCCGTTCATGTTACCAATGTTTCTCCTCGCCCCCACAGAGGGTTCCTCTTCCTAAGTTTTGTAAAACCTTGACACATGGCAAAAGCGTTTACCCCCTCCTACAGTTATGAAACGCCTTTTCCTTGCTTGCTTTTCTTCACACTCCCACTTCATTTCAGATTTCACAGATGGGTCTAAGTCTGCTGATGGTGTAGGCTACTCTGTTGTATTTCCTGACTACACCTATATGTGTTGCCTGCCCCCAGAAACTAGCATCTACACGGCAGAACTTTATGCTATTTTGTATGCTCTTCATCAACTGCTTTCTTGCTGTCAATCTTCCTTTGTTGTTGTAGTTGACTCTCCCAGTGCCCTCATGGCTCTGGAGTCCTTTAATCCCATGGTAGTCAAAATTCAACATTGCTGGGTTCTCAGCCATATTGGTGTCCTTAAATGAGCGTGCGGAGGCTGCCACTACAGATGCTATCCACACTTGTCCCAATTCCTGCAAAGGTGTTCCTTGTTTCGGTTTCTACCCAGTCATTCATTCAATCCGTGCCCGTTGGCAGGATTGATGGTATTCTGTTACAGGTAACAAGCTGCATGCTCTTAAGGTTAGCGTGTCCCCATGACCTTCCTCCTACCACCATAACCGGCAGTGGGAAATAGCTCTGGCGAGGTAACGTATTGGCTATACCTGGTTTAACTCGCTTAATGGAGCGCTGCCTTGCTCCTTATTGTCCTTCTTTCCTTCATGCATATCCTTGTTGAATGTCCCGACTTCCAGGATGTGTGCGTGTACGTTGCTTCCTGACTGTACCTCAATAGAATCCTTAGTGAATCGGATACCTTTGATATCATTTACATTATGTGCTTTTGTTCTCGTATTGGCATTCTTAGCGACATTTGGCGCCTTTTGAATATCCAGCACATTTGATGGTGCTACATAGCCTCCCCGGCCTGGTGCCTCCTTTTGATAATTACTGTACTTACAGCATGTAATTACTGTACTTACAGTAGCATAAATAATAAATTTAAAATCTGAATTAATTTTATTTTGTTTCCCATACATAAAAACAGGATTTGCTCTACGTGGACAAAGTCATTTCAGTATGAAAACATACTTTTAACAAATTTTTATAAACAGAAATTATAAAAAATATACCCATGGATATGCCTTATAGTATAAATGGTAGGATAATAATAATCCAGTCCTGTTAAGGACAGGAAGCCTATGTATAAATATGTATACATATTTAGATATGTATATAGATACTTAAATGTATTATGTATACATATTTAGATATGTATATAGATACTTAAATGTATTATGTATACATATTTAAATATGTATACATATACATATGTATACATTAGGTATACATATATTTAATGTATAAATATACATATGTATATTTATTAGGCTTGTATTAAGGTCCCACCCTAGGTCAAACTACTGACCCTCCCCAGGATGCAACTCCACAACAGTTGCCTAACTCCAGGGTACCCGTTTACTGCTAGGTGAACAGAAGCATTAGGTGAAAGGAAATATGCCCAACCATTTCTGTCCTGCCCCAGGAATTGTACCTGAAATCTCCAATTGTGAGTGGAGAATGAAGCCATCTCTATGGATAGCTCGATGAACTAATACTGTAGCGCAAACTTTGGTTTATTGGTAGACGTTATCACACACTATATAACCCTTAGGACTCGAGTGGCACATTTTCTAATATGAAGATACTAAGATCATATTTATAAAGGCAAAGAATTGCCATCCATATTGTTAACACAATGTTTAGTTCTAAAGCTGCATGCTAAACTATTATCGAATGGCAAAATACAAGCAGCAATAAATAGGACTAGGCCTGAGAAAATGGTTCGTGGTTCCTCATGGTTGAGTCGGTAGTGTGTATGTGCCTGAGGAGTCGAGGGATGTGGCTTCAACCCCATCACACAGCATCGGTAGTTTGTTGACCAAACCACACACTATAAGTTGAAGAGACGACAATGTTTCGGTCTGTCCTGGACCATTATCAAGTAGACTGTGATAATCGACTTGTTAATGACTTGATATAATGGTCCAGGACGGACCGTTTCATCGTCTCTTAAACTTGGTGTGTGGTTTGGTCAACATTTTTCAGCCACGTTATTGTAACTCCTCTGCATCGGTAGTTTCTCAGCATTTGATGTTCTTACATTGTGCCGTGACTGCACAAACACCATCTCTCTCCCATTATGTCTAACATGTGCAATAATGTTCTCGTGTAAGAAAATGTGAGTAATAAGTACTCATAAAACTATCCTGAGCTTGCACAAAAAAGCTCATATTTGTGAACATAAATATTTTAATAAGTAAACTGTAAAAAAAAAAAAAAAAAAATTCTACCCACACATCCCAAAAATTACAGAAAATTATACTGTACTGTAGTAACAAATATATAAATTATTTAAAATATCAAATATTTTTTGCATATACAGTACCTGTATTCAAACTGGAACAACATACTGTATTATATATTATTTTGTGGTGGTGAATGAAGCTTTAAGAAGAAAATACACTGCAACTTAATGCTACAAATGCTTCATATACTTGAGAATGACCCGATACACGTAGCGGCCGGCATCAATGCCCCATATAAAATCAATGTGATTAAATTTCGGCAGAGGAACTTTATAGCTGACCAAGAGATTGGGTAACTTCTCGGCGAGAAGAGCCACATCCTGCGGGGAAAAATAAACAAATTCATTAGTTTAAATCCATTTTCAAAACGACTGACTCTGGAGAGTCACTCTAGAAGTGGAGTCACTTTCACACACCTCACAGTAATTCCTGCAATCACTGATGCACACCACACTGTAGTCTGGAGGTGGAATCACTTCCACAATATCTAGTGTTACCGTTAAATCTTACAGTAAGCTCTGGAAGTGGAGGTTACCTTGAGATTACCTTGAGGTGCTACCGGGGCTTAGCGTCCCCGCGGCCCGGTCGTCGACCAGGCACTTGTGGAGAGTCAATGCTTGAAATGTTTTGCATATTAGTGGCCCTATTAAATGTACATATTCTAACCATTATTATACTCCTGTATACTGTTCATATGTATAATTTTAAATTTATTATTATTATTGCATCTTGCAGTAATCTCTGGAGGTGGAGTCACTGTTTCACACCTCACAATAATCTCTGGAGGTGGTGAGTTACTTGTCACGCTGTACAGATGATGAACCAGGTAGAATTGATCCGATACTTGCCTTGAACGAGTCGCACATAAGGGAAGTTAAGTTGGAAGCCCCCATAGGAATGAGTGATCACAGTAAATACCTAAGTGTAGTTACAGGATGAGGGCTACATTCGTAGTGTCTTGTCTTCCCAGCACTCTGTCATACTGTATAATGCTTTGAAACTACTGACGGTTTTGGCCTCCACTTACTTAACTTGTTCCAATGGCCTTACACTTTGTTTGCGAAAGTGAATTTTCTTACATTACTCTGCCAGCTTTGTTTAGTTAGCTTAAATCTATGATCTCTTGTACTTGAAGTTCTAGATTTGGCAGTCCCCGTGGCGTAGTGGTAAGACACTCCCCTGGCATTTCATGAGCGCTTTAGCCTGGGTTTGTATCCTGGCCGGGGAGGATTTACTGGGTGCCAAGTCTTTAACTGTAGCCTCTGTTTACCCAACAGTAAAATGGGTACCTGGTTGTTAAATGATTTGGCAAGTTGCATTCTGGGGAATATTAGGACTAAGAACTTGCCCTAAATGCTTTGTACTCACCTAGTTGTGTTTGCGGGGGTTGAGCTCTGGCTCTTTGGTCCCACCTCTCAACCGTCAATCAACAGGTGTACAGATTCCTGAGCCTATCGGGCTCTATCATATCTACATTTGAAACTGTGTATGGAGTCAGCTTCCACCACATCACCCCCTAATGCATTCCATTTGTCAACCACTCTGACACTAAAAAAGTTCTTTCTAATATCTCTGTGGCTCATTTGGGCACTCAGTTTCCACCTGTGTCCCCTGGTGCGTGTTCCCCTTGTGTTAAATAGACTGTCTTTATCTACCCTATCAATTCCCTTCAGAATCTTGAAGGGAATTTGTGTGCTAGTGGCTGTACAAGAATATAAGAACTCTTGTATATATAAATAAAGATGTCAGGATTTCTCCTCTATCAATTTTGTCGATTCCCGTTACCGTTTTGTATGATGTGATCATATCGCATCTTTTTCTTCTATCTTCTAGATTTGGCATATTTAATGCCTCGTAGCTCTTATCTTTCAGTTCTGGGAGCCATTTAGTTGCATGTCTTGGCACCTTTTCCAGTTTTTGTGCTTCTTAAGATATGGGCACCATACAACCACTGCATGCTCCAGCTTTGGTCTCGCAAAGAACGTGAACAATTTCTTTAGTATCTCGCCATCTGTGCATTTAAAAGAAATTCTGCAATTGGAAAGCATAATATAGGTCCCTCACACAATGTTCTTTATGTGGTTCTCAGGTGATGGTTTTCTACTGAGAACCATCTCTAGATCATCAGAATTGTTTAAAGATTTTCTCTCATAATTTGTAGGTTCTGCGAGGACTATATTTTCATAACATGGCACTTGTTCACATTAAATTCCACTTGTCAAGTGGTGCTCCATACACTTATTTTGTCCAGGTAATGGACAAAATACCTTGGGTCAGTCTCACCGTCATGCCTTGAAAGGCATGACAATAGTCAAAGTTTCTAATCTTCCCTATTAACTTAGCGTCATCAGCAAACATTGTTCACACAGAGCATGACAAGGTGTGTGAAGTACCCAACAAGAGATTCAAGGTCGTCTTCAGTCATGAAATTGTGGAGAAGTGGATTGAGAAGTCCCTGAACTAGGAGAGGTAGCAATAAACTAGGCAGCTTTGGAAAATTTCAAAATTACCAGAAATGAGGTTAGGAGGTATCTATTGGATCTGGGCATTGGATCTGTTGGATCTGGATGGAAGAAAAGCTGTGGACCTGATTAGGATCTCCCCATGGATATAAGAGTGGGCAGAAGCACTTTGCTTGCCTCTCTCCATGGTGTATAACGAGAGACCTACCAGAAATATGAAAGACAATGTATGAAAGTCCCAATATATCAAAAGGGCAACAAGGATGAGGTGCTGAACTACAAGCCTGTGTCCATAACTTGTATACCATGCAAGGTGATGGAAAAGTTCGTGAGGAAAACCTAGTAACACATCTGGAGGCAAGGGACTTTGTAACGTAACACCAATATGGGTTCAGGGATGGCGAATCTTGCCTCACAGGTTTAGTTGAATTCTACAACCAGGTGACAAAGATTAAGCAAGAAAGATTTAGTGGGCAGACTGGATTTTCTTGGACTGCCAAAGCCTTTGACAGAGAACCCCATAAGAGGCTGGTGCATAAGTTTGAGAAACAGGCAAGAGTAACTGGTAGGCTACTCCAGTAGAGAAGGGTTTTCTGTGATAGAAATAAGCAACAGAAAGCAGAAAGTTACTATAAGGGGTGAGACTACAGAATGCTGTGATGTCACTAGTGGAGTCCCAAAAGGTTCTGTACTTGGACCTATCTTGTTTTTGATGAATGCAAATAGCCTTGTTCTTCTCAATGTTTACTGATGATGCTAAAATTATGAGAAAAATTAAGACAGGAGGACAGTACAAGCTAACAAGATAACCCAAACAAACCGAAGAAATGGTCCAACAAATGGCTATTACAGTTTAACTCGAGCATGTGTAAAGTAATGAAAATAGGTGTAGGAAGCAGGAGGCAAGATAAGGTACCATTTGAGAGATGAAATACTTCGAGAATCGGGGAGAAAGATCTGAGGTTTGATATCATGCCAGACCTGTCCCATGAAGCTCACATAAAGAGGATATCAACAGTGTCATATGCCAGGTTAGCTTACATAAGAATTGCCTTTTTGAAACATTTGTAAAGGATCTTTTATAACCTTGTATCACCCATGTCAGACCAATCCTGGAGTATGCAGCACCAGTGTGGAGTTTGTATCTAATTTGGAGAAGGTTCAAAGGTATGCCACCAGACTAGTACATGTGCTATGAGGAAAGGCTATGGAAACTAAACCTCAAATCCCCGGAAGACAGAAGTTAGGGGGGGCACATGATCACTACATAAGATTCTCAGGGTAAATAAAGAATTGATAGGGTAGATAAAAACAGATTATTTAGAAAAGGTGGTACTAGGGGACACAGGTGGAAACAGTACTCAAATGGGCCACAGAGACATTAGAAAGAACTTTTTCAGTGTCAGAGAATTTAAAAAATGGAATGCACTAGGCAGTGATGTGGTGGAGGCTGACTCCATACACAGTTTTGAATGTAGATATGATAGAGGCCAGTAGGCTCAGGAACACCAGTTGATTGATGGTTGAGAGGTGGAACCAAAGAGTAGAAGCCCAACCCCCATAAGCACAATTAGACGAGTACAATAATCTCTGGAGGTGGAGAGTCATTAAAGCTACCTGGCATGTGCAAATAACTTTTTATTAAAGAGCATGTACATGTAAAAAAAAAAAAAATTTTTGTTTACATCTACATAATTTTTACGCACATGTAAAAAATGCTTCAAACTAACCTTCGGATCAGCCAACAAGTCATTTTTCCCCCACATTAAGACAACTGGAACATTGACACGACTGAGATCATAAAGCGGTGGGGTTGTCTGGTTATACCGTCTCATATTCTCGGTTTTCCCAAAGTCATAATGTTGAAATTGCCCTGAAATACAAGCATACAATGATATTTATCACTTCACTGGAATTATATATACATGCAATATTTGCATGAGTTCAGGACACCCCTAATTTTAAGACACATGGTGAGCAGTGGACATATTTCTTGCCTAAATGCTTGGACTTTGATCCTAAGCTGCACCCTGAAGATCAGTGGGGGTTCATGGAAAAATAAAATGGAGAGACTGTAACTTGAAGCTTCACTATTGTACAGCATGAAACCTCTATTTTTATCACGTTTTAATGAAAAGTTTCAAAATTCAGTTATAAATACAGTATATTGAAAATAAGGCTTGACTATTGTACAGCATGAAACCTCTATTTTTATCTCGTTTTAATGAAAGTTTCAAAATTCAATTATAAATACAGTATATTGCAAATAAGACTTTTGACACATTTGTTAGTTGCTTATTATTATAGTGTGACCTTGGAGTCATACTAGCCCGTCCTCCTAACAGAATGTCGCATTTTGACATATACTCTACATTAGGCCAAAAATTCATACTAGAAAAAAATTGTAGCAGCATGAAAATTTACATAATCCCGTTTTCTGTTTTATGTCCTCTGGTACGTTAGGAGAGGGCATTTTAGTATGAGAGATTCTCGACGTTGGGAAATCTTGGGAGGACGGGCTGCAGCTCACTAGCTCCTATGGGCGAGCCGCCACTATTGAAGATGATGCACCATTTTAGAACCGTGTGCAAGTGCCCTACGTGGCAAGCCTAGCTGGAGACGGGTAAACAAGCAGCCAAGGATGACGGACAATGGTGTTTACATTTATAATATACTGTTAGGCAAAAAACCAGCATTGAATGTAATGAAACTTCAATTTCTGGGTGAGCCCTGGTGGATTATTGTAGATACTATCACTAATAGTGTACCATCTGTTAAGTTGCATCAGTCATGATGATCAGGCTGGTGGTTGCATTGGTCTAATGATGCAAAAAACCAGCGTTGAATGTAATGAAACG